GTGGAATATTCATAATATCGTTTCAACTTTGCAACCGCAGGCTGAACAGCTTGCCATGCTTCCTCTTGGCTTTCTTCTGTGGGATTAGATATTGCTTTCCTAATTACGTCTCCACATCCTTCGTAGCGCTGCAATGAGTCCAGAAGTTTATCGGTGTGATGGAGATGCTCCGAAAGACGTTCGTGGAGGCTTAATTCGGCTTCTGTCGGTGTGGAATCTATTATTGACAATAAAAAAAAATTCTTATTAGTTCGAAATATTAAATGCATTTGTAAAATTCTCTTGATTTTCTTCTTGGTGAGAACAGCGAAGCTATACAAATATTCTCTCATTATTAAAGTCCTCTAGACATTAGACGTACGTCATTCTTATATTTTTATCTATTATTTTCATATTTCTTTCCTCCTCTTTAAAATTAAGAATTCGTTCTTTTACGCAAAGTACCCGGAGCATTTAACGTCAGTACCGAACTATTGAATCATTTTATTGTCGTTATTAATTCAGAGGGTTGATTTTTCGGCAGTATCTAACAGTGCGTTACTTACTTTCGGGGTTAAAATTCCAATCTGGTATATTTGCATCTCCGTTCCCTCTACTAAAGATTGATAATATCCCGCCCATTTTTTAAAGGATAGGTAAACAGGTGAAACGATTTATTTTTTGATTCAAACAGGGGGAACAGGTGAATAACGTTATTAGGCTCTACGTCTCGTTTGTTTTACTTATTGGCCGTCGGATGATAGAGGTTTGAGAAAATAATGTTTGAGTCGTTGTGCGTACCACCAAAGGTTTGACTGGAGAATAATTTCTGGTAGAGGTCGTGGGACGGTTTGTAAGTTAAGGGAAGGAATGAAAGATTTGGATGGTAAGCAATAAAGAAATTTATTTACGTATTCCCTAAAAGAATGAACTTTTTTTTTCTCAAGAGGTTTGCAGCAACTACGTCTTATGAACACAAACACAAAAAAATACCTTTCATCCTTTAATTTTAATTTTTTCCATGTCGTGTGTACGTGTGTATTTTCATCGTTAACCAGTAGCAAACGTACTCACGCAATGATTGGTGATGAAAAATTTGTGTACCGTATGCACGTTTTTTGATGATAATTTTGTTATCATAAGCCCATAATCATAAAACTTTGATGGATGAGAGAATACAGATAAACAATAACCACTTTCCAAACCTGGTTTTGCTCCTATGTTCAGATTTCTTTCTCGTTCTGGTAATCTGAGAAGAGTAGCTTCACTCGTTCCAAAAATTCAAGGTAGCAATAAATTACTTTGAATTAATAATAAATAAAATACGATAGTCACCGGCATAGTAGAATTCGACAGACTGCTCATAGTACCTTTCTTTTAAACCAAGGAGCACGGGGCTTTTCTCGAAGCGCACCTAGAAGCCAAGAAATTGAAGTATTCGTAGATGGAAATCCTGTACTAATCGAACAGGGAAGTGCCGTCATTCAGGCATGCGAAAAAGCCGGTTATACTATACCTCGTTTTTGTTATCATGAGGTCGGTTGCAACGTTACCAATTTGAAAAAGAATTGGCCTGCGAAAATTATTGACTTTGAACTTTGGATAATTAGCGACTTTCTGTTGCTGGTAATTGTCGAATGTGCCTTGTGGAATTAGAGAAATCTCCTAAACCAATTGCCTCCTGTGCAATGCCCGCTCTGCCCGGTATGAAGATCAAGACCGACACCCCACTCGTCAAGAAAGCTCGTGAAGGTGTGATGGAATTTTTGCTGTCCAATCACCCGTTGGATTGTCCTATATGCGACCAAGGTGGTGAGTGCGACCTGCAAGATCAAGCTGTTAGATACGGTAGTGATCGAGGAAGATTTCATGAAGTCGGCAAGAGGGCTGTGGACGACAAAAATTTTGGTCCTTTGATAAAAACATCCATGAACAGGTGTATCCATTGCACGCGGTGTGTGCGTTTTGCTAATGAAGTTGCTGGTGTTCCCGAGTTAGGAACAACTGGTAGGGGTAATGAAATGCAGATAAGTACTTACATCGAGAAAACAATAAACTCTGAAATGTCTGCAAATGTAATTGATCTGTGTCCTGTTGGCGCTTTGACCGCAAAACCCTATGCCTTTTCTTATCGACCTTGGGAACTCAAGAGAACGGAGTCGATCGATGTGTTTGATGCGATTGGTAGCAATATCAGAGTAGACTCCCGTGGGGTTGAGGTCATGCGTGTCTTGCCCAGGATTAATGATGAGATAAATGAAGAGTGGATTTCTGACAAGACGAGATTTGCTTTTGATGGACTTAAGAGGCAACGTCTCACTATGCCGTTGATTCGAAGTGGTGACAAGTTTCTACCCGCAACATGGGAGCAAGCTCTTACCCGCGTAGCCAATGAAATTCACAAGATAAAAGGACCAGAGGCGAAAGCGATTGCTGGGCAACTTGTCGATGCTGAAAGTTTGGTTGCCCTCAAGGATCTATTTAACCGTTTCGGCAGTGATAATTTTGCTATCGACACTGTCAATGGTTCCAAAATTCCTACCCATGGTATTGACTTCCGTTCCAATTACCTTTTCAACAGCAAGATAGCGGGGGTTGAGGATGCAGATGTACTCTTGTTGGTTGGTGTTAACCCTCGCCACGAAGGACCTATCCTTAATACCAGGATTCGAAAGGGTTACCTTCACAATGGATTAGATGTAGGATTGGTAGGTTACCCTAGTGATACCGGCTATGAGTACGACCACATAGGCACTAGCAGTGATGCGCTTGGATCCATTTTAAACGGAGAACATCCATTCGCCAAAAAAATAGCGGAATCTCAAAGACCTCTTATCATAGTTGGGAGTGGAGTCCTGGATGTTCCTGATAGTGAATATGTCTTTTCCGCTGTCGCCGAAATAGCAAGCAAGTACAAGACACAATTCTTTCAAGAAAATTGGAATGGCTTTAACGTTTTGCAAAGGGTTAGCATCCATTATCTTTTATGAATCGTACTTCGATTTTTTGCATAATATTTACGTAACACTTGCATGTTCTGCATTTGCTTATCCTAGGCTGCGAGTCATACTGCAGCTTACGATATCGGTTTTATTCCTTCGGAAAACTCAAGTGAAATTACGCCAAAGTTCGTCTATTTATTAGGTGCTGACGAAATTAAACCTCATGATATCCCAAAGGATGCGTTCGTCGTGTATCAAGGTCATCATGGCGATACAGGTGCGCACTATGCTGACGTTATTCTCCCAGGGTCTGCTTATACGGAAAAGAGTGCAACATATGTAAATACTGAAGGTCGAGCGCAACTCAGTCGAGCTGCTGTTCCTCCGCCAGCTGCCTCACGAGAAGATTGGAAGGTCAGATACCAGTTTCAATCTTTTATTTTATTAACGGTTGGACTTGAATTCATTTTATTCTTGCATATATACAGATCATCCGTGCCTTATCAGAGGTTGCCGGGTTTACTTTGCCATATGATGATGTTTCCTCTATTCGTGATCGCATGAATGAGATTGCCCCACACCTTACTCATTATGATACTATTGAATACTCGAGTAATTCCGAACTAGGAGTCAAAAACCTAGTGAAAAACGCGGCAAAATCATTGGGCGCTACGTTTAATCCCGTTATTCAAGATTTTTATATGACCGACAGCATATCTCGGGCAAGCCAAACCATGGCCAAGTGTTCTG